ATTTGTCTTCTTTAACTTTGCTATTCTAACACCTGCGTAACATTCGTAAGGTAAATTTTAGTATTCATGTCAATAACTTTTTAATCAATGACTTTGATACCAGCATTGCTATTGACAATCCGGATCTCCGACTTAACACTGAAAAAAAAAAAAAATCACGTATTTATATTCTTATTATAAAACTCTATCGAATTTATAAGATAAATTTTACCTAAGTTATAATGATTGCTTACTGTTCAACAAAATAATCTTCCGGTGAAAAAAATTAAGATTATTTTCGTTTAATGACTTGTGTTTTATTGTTTTATTATGACTTTAATTATATGATTTTAAGTTTTAAATTTTCATAATAACAAGGCTTACACTATACAATACTCACCTAAAGGCTTTGTAAAAAAAACCCCACAAAAATTTTTAATGCTCGTCCTGTACTTCAAAATGACGGAGCGTAAAGTTTCTTAATTACAGCCGAAGGACTTACAAAAGTAAGGTCATAACGCAGCAGTTGAGATTGTTACAAAAAAAAAAAAATTACAATCGTAAAAATGTTTATTTCAAATTTATAATGGCTTGTATATGTTATCTGGACTTTATCAAAGGCGATTTAAAAAAAATTTATTAATACATTTAGATACGTACTTGAATAATGCCATAAAGCGTCGTCGTTATGTATGATGTTAGAAATGGAAGATATGAGAAAAATTATTAAGGCTTTTTTATGGATTCTGTCACGAACAATCGTTGTCTTATGATTAAAATCTTACAATTTCGTGATTTTACTTTTAATTATAATTTGTTTCATTTATTTTTTATGTTTGAAATATTCTAAAAGTTTTTCTTATTAACGAAAGATTTTTTTATGACTAAATACACTGAGAGAAAAAAATTCTTTTGAAAAAAGTGAGCAATGTTGTAATAAGAAATTAATTTATTGGAATTTTTCAACAATTTTATTTTTTAGCTGGAGAAATAAAAATTTTCTCACACTAACGTTTTTGATGAAAAAAAAGTTTCTAGATTTGGGGAAAAATAATTTTGGATGAAAATTCACAAGTTATCTATCTAAAATTATTTTTTTCTAAATTAAAAAAATTTTTAATTTTTACAACTAAAAAATAAAATTTTCAACAAAATCATTTTTTGTCACAATGCCCGTTTTTTTAAAAGAAATTTTTTCTCTCAGTGTATTGATTCTTACATCGAATATCACTCAAGAAATAGTATATTACATACCTAGGCCAGTAAAATAAGAAAAGTCTCAGACCACATGTAATTGTTGGCCGAGGCGAAGCCGAGGTTGACAAACATGTGGTCTGAGGCTTTACTTTTTACTGGTCAAGGTGTGTATACTATTTTTCTGCTCGACGTAGCCGGAATGTGGCAACTTTGTTTAGCGCAGCGGCCAGAAAGTTGCCACTTTCCGGCCGGAGGGCAGAAAAATTCATATTATAAAAAAATAACTGTAAGATCTTCATTATTCGGTAACGTAAATCTATCTTGCTAATTACATGGAACATTTTTGAAAAAAAAAAAAAAATTAGAAAAACGGTTCACCCTAAAGGCCATCCCTGCAACTTCCCGCTCATTTTGTACTTAAACGCTTCAAATTACACATTACATTTTTGGGCTCTTCGAGCTCAAAAATATTGTTTTTGTGTCAATTTGAGCTCTTCGAGCTCAAAACTCTAATAGCAGTTTAAAAACACAATTTTTTGAATTTTCAAATGGCAATAACTTTTGAATAAATGAACCGATTTTCACGCGGTTAGCGGCAATCGACGCAGTTTTTGAAGCTCCATAAAAAATTTTCAAGTTTAAATCGATCAAGCCATGAATTTAGAAAGTATTACAAAAAAACACTTTTTTCGACAACGATATCTCACGAACACATCAACCGATTCTAACGTTTTTGGTGGCGATCGATAGGGGTTTTCAAGGTTAAGAGCTGATGAGTTTTTGAGACCGATCGGTTCAGCCAATTCGGAGATATTCAAAAAAAATTTAAAAAAACAACTTTTTTTTAACTTTTTTTTTCACTTTTTTTGCATTTTCTCGAAATCTACCCATCCGAATCGGTTCAAATTTTCAGGAAATCTAAGTTTAGTGAAGCCCTTTCGAATGACACAAACCGCGATGAAATCGGTCAAGTCGTTCAAAAGTT